GATGAGGGTCGGGGTTGGATACCCCAAGTATCCAGTGGATATAGTCACGTTTGAACTCGTCCCCGGTATCGATCGTTAAGGGTGGAAACGAGAGGGTAGGAAACCACCGACGCGCTCCATTCTGATGTCTCGCCGGGGCTCGTCTCCATAGAAATTAGCCCCTGGGTTGCGTTTCCGCGATATTCCACGGAACTTACCCGGGAATTGTTGCATATGGGGTTTGTAAGGGTGATTAGGTGATTATGACGATTTTGGAGAATTTTTTCGGGTATTTTACCCTCGGGGGTGGAAATTTGGCGATGACTTTGAATTTCATTTATGGGGGTAATTTCAATATGGGGAACGCCGTTGAAAAATTTGATATATTTTTTTTTTTGGGTAATGATATGTAATCATTTGATTCGGTGAAAATTTTTGGCCATTTTTAATTAATTTTTTAGTGTTTTTCTGTAATTGTGAAAGTTGAAGAAAAATTAGAGTGCAAATTAAAATTGAGGATGCAGCAGTTGCAATTTTTATTTCGCAAGTGAAAATACAAGTTCCCCTGTGTCCGTGAGATATTTTGGGGTGCATTTCAATCGCCAATTGCCGAGTACGAAACCATTCCCAAAACACCTGTCATCAGGTGCTTTATCGGTTCTAAAAGTCAGTTCTGCACCCGTCTTTCCCTTTTATTTATTTTTTGGATTTAATATTTTTCAGTGTGAACTGACAACTAGAATAACGACACATCAGTAGGAATTTGCAATTTACGATAGGGTCAACAAAGGAAATTCGAAAATTGAGGGAAAATGTTTAGTCGCGCCTGCCAACTTTGGCAGAGTCTAAAAACACCCCCCCAAAAAAAACTGTCAGAACACAAAAACAAAATGAGTATTTTTAATCATGAAAACACTATAAAAAAAATGTCAATTTACATTTCCGGTACAATTTAAATTTTCCGTGTGAGGTGTCAAGAAAAATCCCGAAGTGAGAACTGAAAGAAAATAAAAAAAATTCACCGTCGCCTCGAAAAATCCCTTTTTTCCCGGTGTGTGCATACGTGCCGTGATATTTCATATGCCACCATTTTTCCAATAACTCATATCTGGTGGCTGGTCAGGGTCGAATCTCGATAACTCGTTCCGTCCCCGTATTTCCCCCTCCAACTCCCCACCGAATATTTTCAATTTTCCTTTTTTTTTGCATGGGATCTTTTTGTTGGGCGTCTCGTACCGTCGCAAAAGCCGTACATTCGTGCAGATCGGCGGAGTTACCGAGTACGAGCCAACAATCGAGCGAAAACCACCAGCCGACCCTATACCGACTCTCCCCCTCCTTCCCTCCCCCATCACACTCCCCCTCTCCTTCCTCTCCCCCTAACTCTTTCTCGCCCCCCCTCCTCCGATTTTCCCGTTCCCCTCACTACCACTTGCGCACCCCCTCTTTCCTCCCTTCCCTTTCTCTCTCCCTCTCTCGCTCCCTCTCTCTCGTTATCCCGTTTTGCACATGCGCGAGAGAGACCCCTTTTGGGTTTATAGTTGTACACCTCCGCCTGCCTGGTAAATTGATGTACAGAGAGCACCGAGAGGTATAAAGGACAATTCGGGTGTGATCGGTTGGAGTCGGGATCGACTCGGCTCGGTGAGAGCCCGAGAAAGAGGTCGAGTGCGCAGAGCCACGTCCTCCGGAAACGTCCGAACGCTCTTCGACCGCTCCAGGGGTGTAACACCGTTGCTACCGGTGGTAACCCCTGGGCCCCTCCCTCTCGTAAATATCGAAATATTTTTCCAATCGATCCACCTTTGTCATGAGAAATTTTCGACAAATATCCAGTGACCAATCAGAAATATTAATTGGAAATTTTTGGCTCGCGAAATTTTTGGGAATCGGGGGATTTTTCTTGCTGTCACCTTGTCCCCTTTTTTCCAATCTGTGCTACATTTTTCTTTGGAAAATTTCAATTCTCCGTTGAGATGGAAATAATTTATATGCGAATTGGGAAATACGTTGATTAAAATTATTGCAGGAAAATTGTGAAAATTGTGGACAGTGAGGGAAAATTTGAATTGAATCGAGAATTTTTGCAAATCTGATCTTTAATGAAAAATTTGAACAATTGAGAAAATAAACTCGACTCAAAATAAATCTAGAAATAAAACCGGAAAACTCAATTTTGCTCGATGAATTCCCAAAAAATATTTTTTTTTAAATCCCGAGTCTTGACTCTATATTTCATGAATGATTTCTGAAAATTCTCGTTGAATTCCATTTCAATCCACTGTAATCAGCAAATTGACTGGAAATTCTTATCACCGCGGAACCGATGCCCCATTGTCTCATCGCCCTGATAAGACATTTTTTTTCCACTTCTTGATTGATGAATCGCAATGAGAACAGTGTGCTCCAGGCGAGAGGATAAAAATAATAAAAAAAAAATAATGATTAATAAACGACCCTACCCAACGTTGACGTTTCGACCTTGGTAATAATGTATTTAAAAATGCGCATGCGCTGATTAATCTACTGGGTAGATTCGATCATCCCGGAGTCTCCAACATCTTCAGCCGTGACCCCCTGGAAAGTCGCTTTTCACTTTCATGCCCTCAGCACGTTTCACGTTATTTTCATCAATATTTAGCGAATTACATTCGTTACTTTTTCAATGGAAAGTTGGATCGACTCTTTAATGGTCATTACACTTAAACACGATATGCCTTTTTATTTCGTACGCAATTACTGCATGCGCTATTACAGAGGGTTTTGTATTTCTGGGGAGGAGAGTTTATCTCGGATATTTCTCCCTCCCTTTTCTTCCAGAAAAAGTGCGCAGTTGGGCGATTATTTGCATAAAAATTATTTTTAGCGAATGGAACTCATTCAGGGGATTGTTTTCTTTTTTCTTTCATTCTTTTTTTTTTTCGTTGAATTGATCTTGGGGACAATGGGCTCGTTGTTGGGGGGGAAAGTGGGAGGGTTTCTGGGATTAATGTGGAGACGTTGGACGGTTTATTCAGTGAGAAAAATTGAGACACGTGGAAATTCATGAGGGCACGGTCACACCGGTGACTTTCGAAATCGCGAGGAACTCACGGTTATTCATGATTAAATAATCAATTCCTTTGACGGACAGTTTTTCAGCTTTTTACTAAAATCTTTCTGGTCTCTATATCTTCAATATTCATAAAAGTTATCTGAATTACCATTGAGCAGTCATCCACGTGTTAATTACACCTGGGATTTTTGAATTCATTCGGAAAATTGCGAATCAAATACAGAGGATTTTTCCTCAGATTGGGGAAATACTTTCCTCTAAACTTCCCTATTCTCTCTGACTTTCTCCGCTCTTCCTCGAGAAATCATGAGGTGTAATCACCTCTTCTCACGTCTTTCCTTCGAATTTCTCAGATGAAAATTGGCGAATTTAAATGGCGTCCCCCCTTTAAACTCGACAATCACAAGCGAAAACTCGCAGATAACTCGTGAGCTCCACGAAAGAAAAAAATGCGATAATTCCAAATGAAAAATTTATCATTCCAAATGCCACTGAATCTCCATTTCTCATTCTCTCCCGCTCAACATTTTTATTTCTGCATTGTCAACTCTGTTTAGTCTTATCACTCGTACGGAAAATATATACCATTCGCTCTCTCATCCACCAACGGAGAGGAGAGTATTCGCACTCCCCCCTGAATTCTTTATCCCCCCTCTGAAAAAAAAAGAGAGAAAAAAAAAAGAAGCAAGTACAGAAAGCGTTTAAAGTAGGCAGCAATGCCTGGGGGCCAGAGTAAGGATGTGAAAAAAAAATTCAATACGAATTCCCATCCACATCCTCACCGAAGCCCTTCCCCAGGAAAATCATCTCCAACGAGGTCAAACCCCCGAAAAAATCCCCAAAAATCCCCAGATATTTTCCTTCCCCGTAGTAGTCGCACCCCAGCCGGAGGAAAAGAATAAAAAAAAAAGTGAAAAGCCAGAGTGAGCGAACATGGGAAGTTCTCATTTCAACCCGTCAGCTGGTTTAAGCGCCTAGCAACCCAGGGCCCCTCGATCACCTCTCTACACCCCTGCTTGTAAAAGGCCACGATATCACCCGATTCACTCCGACTCCATCCGATCACAACACTCGGTTGAATCCCCGAGTTACATTCGGAGAGGCACGAACACCAGCTATTAACCGAACACCACGAACCGGCCGGTCAGCTGTAAGCCGAGCCGCCTGACTGCCATCCGAAAAGAGCCGGTTGTACGTAAAAAAAAACACTCATCCCCATCGAAATAAATAAAATAAAAAAAACGAAAAACAATACCAAATAAATTCCCTCAACGAAATACACCGCAATCCCCCAAAAACACCCCTCAGCACTCGAAAAATCCCCGAGAAATGCCAAAGTGGTAGCAGTCGGTGTGAAAATCCCCCGAGCGATAAATTCAACAGCAAACGCATACCCCACGTTTTTCATCACCTAACCACCAGTTTGATAAAAATAAAAATTGATAATCGGTATAGAACAATCCGGTGTTGTACATCGGAGGAGAGGAGAAAAAGAGTGTGTGAGAGGGAAATAATAAAGAAGAAAATAAAAAAAAAAAGAGTCGACTATAAAGACAAGAAAGGAACGGAGTAAACGAGCGCTGCGCCCGGTTGATGGGGGAGGTGGTCGGGAGGGGATTTTGAGTGGGTGAGGGAGAGGGTAAGGGGGTGGGGAGGAGGTAGAGGGGGTATTGGGTGAGGGGGAGGGTTTTATGGGTGTGAGTGAGAGGGGATTGGTGGTGAACGGAGGAAAGAGTGAGAAAAAAGGAGGGATAGCGTGAAGCGGCTGTGATCGCGAAGCTGGCAGTTCTCGTCGGTCGACCTCGGCACACGGTTCACAAGTGGATGGGCTCCGGGTTTTGATGGTGCTAGGAGTCAAGTGGAGAAGATCGGCCAATATGAGGGATTCGTAGCGATTCTATTGGATTTTACCCGGGGGGTAATACAGCGACATTATACGGTTTCTAGGGGGGGTGGGCGGGGGGGTATTTTCAGAGGGCGAATGGTAGAGGATTATAAACGATATATATTTTTGTAAAAAAAGTATAGTGGCCCCGTGGAATTGTTGGGGAAGAGAAGAACTGGGGAAAGAATCAGTGGAACAGTGAAGTTGTTCAAGGTAGGCGAGTGTTGGGACTGAGGGGAGGAACTTGAGGAACTGGTGTTGCTGGGCACCGGTGGATTATTCTCCTGGATTATTTTGATGATTTTGGGGATTTGGTGGATCCAGACTATTTGTTCGTTGATGATGGTATCGGTTTTATTGGTAAATTTGTGAACAGTTTGGGGGGTGAGAACGGTTGTCAGGTGGAGAGTATTGAGAGTGGCAGTGGCTCGTGTTAATTCGGTGGTGGATTAATCGGGGAGTTGATGGCAGTGTCGGTGGATGTGGAAATGTGTGAATTTTTTTTGTGAGGTATGATTGGGGCCAGTGAATTTTTTTTTGGCAAATTTTTCACGATTTTTTTAATGAATTTTGAGTGGTAGAGCTGTGTCTGGGCTCTTTGCTGTCTTACCGACCGGCCGGTGCAACACGATCGACCGATAATACTCTGTACTCTTTCACCCGTGGTGTACATGGGGTAGCAACGAGGTACCAGTAATTTTCGTACTCTGAAATCACCAGCAAGCACATCTGGTCGACTTTATCCCCATTTATTTTATTTAAAATCGTTATTGCCGATTTATCGTTATTCAATTGGATGGGGGGAAAAAAAATGGCTGTTAAAATTTATTCATAATTTATCAGCTGGAGGCTATCACAATCGACGGGGGCAAAAAAATTTTTTTTTTCTAATGAACCAGTCAGCGAGAATTGATAACGGAGTAATTACGATGGAGCAACAGTAGCTCAAGTGATAGTGTGAAAGAGCAGAGTCAGATGAAAAGTTGACACTCGAGATTCTCTAAACCTTTGGCTGTTTGATTTCACATGTTTCTTACTCTACGAATCAACGTCTGGATCGTATCAGGAGGATTTATAAAATCACGGTTGTTGCGAAACAGGGGAGCTTGTGTTGAGATATAGCGGATGAACTGAACGAATTTTCTTATTTCACCAGTGGTAATTACGATAACGTAAGTGGGAGATTTTGCTGGTGGGGTCCAAGCAATGACCTTCGGAAATACGAGGCCGTTTGTATCGTTGGGTTTCCGTGTCGTGCACGCGACCAAGACGGCGCCAAAATCGAAATATTTTTTGTTAATTTGAGCATAAAATTCATCGAGGGAGACAAACACGTGAAAATCCCAGATCGATACTCAGCATCCCTTCAGAGATAACCGAGGGGTGGAAAAAGGTGGAAAGTCCTGGAGTCTGCGATTTTTCTGAAGAGATCTCAGGTGAGGAAGGTGGAGCAGAATTGGGAGGCGAAACAAGAAAAAAACTTGGAAAGAAAGGAAAGGAGAGGATAAAAAATCAGGCAGCCCCTTTAACGTGCCTTGGAAACGAAGAGATTCCTCCCGCGTATCACCTCGATCGAGACCGTTCCTTGGAGCCTCTATGGAACACTACGCCAGAGGAATTGTACGTACCCGCCTTTTCAAAACCGGTTTCGTTCGGCTTGGTAAAACTGGCGTTTACATTGGTTGCGTTGTGGGAAGCATGAGCCAGTAAGAAGTAAAAAGATAATAAAACCGAAGAGAAGTTGAGGATAAAAAAAGCATCCATTGAAATAAAAATATGATCAGTGATTTTTCTTTTTTTCCGAAATCGAGTAAACGATAAAACGGATAAATTTACGCAAGGGCACACGCTCGGCTGATACCAACCAACCAGAGAGCTCGAACCAGTGAGCGTGCAAAAGTAACTGCCTAATCAACCCAATTTACTGTGATCAACGGTGAAATAATAAAAAGGAACTATTCAAAAATGGAATTAATTTATGCAAACAGTCACCACAAGTTGCTTGGGATTGGCCAGTGCATTGTGGACCGTTGCAAGACTTAAATACCACACTGCTGCATTATCCGTTGATATAAGAATTAAAATTTCTGAATGATAACAGTGGTTGAAGTTTGTAGTGATGAAGCAGTCGGCGAGTCCGCCAGCAGCTGCCCAAGTGCAGTCAATGGTATTCGGATCGAGAATACGACAGGTTGATTATCGTCGTCAGGTATGCGATACTGATTACGATGATGATAAAACAATAAAGATCAGTCTCAATGAGAGTAAGCAGACTGGCAAGTATTCACCGAAGAAGGAGGACGACGGTAAGACCAAATCACCGGCAATGTCGAGGATGTTAGCCGTTGATGCTGACAACTATATGCTGAGAAAGGGTGCAAATAGTACGAATTGTACTGGTGTTGCAACAGGTACTAACAGTGTACAGATGACAACATTACCAGTGACCAGTGGTGGACAGTGTAATGTTACTAATGTTGTACTTGGTACATCATTGACTGATCGCAATCAATCCATATTTGGAATAAATAATAATGCCAATTGGCAGCATGGCAGTCAAAATGTTACGTACACCTCGGGTGGAGGTGAAATTGAGTGCTGTGGTAATGTCGATGGTGTTGTTGGTGATAATTGTGATACGTTGACCACGTGCGATGGACCAGGTGCATCATCACCCATCAACGATATCAATTCCATTGACCAGTCATTTGGTACACTGGGTAATTCACATCAGGATACTCATGACGAGCGCGAGCGCAACGTCAAGCTGAGGAATAACGGATGGCCAACTCGACGAATAGCCAATCAACAGATATTAGGGAATAATTCGGCATTTGGACAGACAAAGCATAATGGAAAATTGCTCGATAATGCTCTGCTCAACAGCATTGCACTTGCCAGTCAGAGTTTGATGCAGCCCAAGGTCAGACGTGATAACAGATCGAGAAGAAATTCGGAGTGTGAATTGTCGGATGAGGATATTGGGAGTATTGATACGTGGTGTGGTGATAGCAATAGGCATGATGTGTCTTGTGCTCGTCCCGTATCCTTTCATCGTTACCTGTGCTGGTGCAATGATTTTAAAAATGATACTGAGAGGGGGGAGGCTAACGTTGATAATGCTCTGGTGAGGGGCAGGAGGGATGAGTCACCGCGGGCCAATGGCAATTGCAAGAGTCAAAATGGGGTTAGGGGTTTACTTGAGAATGGTAGCAGTGGAAAAATAACCGTAACTTATCAGAGACAGAGTCAGGCGTATTCGCGTTTATGTTGCTGTATGTGTGGTTCTATGTGTCCTCCAGAGTGTCACGCCTGTTTTCACGTTGTCTGCAAGGAGTTCAGTGGACAACACCTGTGCCAATGGGCCGAGAAGGGACACGCACTTCCGGGACAGGTCTTCGACAAGGACAAGGTCAGTTCATTTGGATTTTTATTATTTTATTTAGTTCTCTTTTTTCTCTTTTTTTTTTTTTGGTCTATCGGGGATGGGGAAATTTCCGCTTCCGTTTGGTGGTGCTTTGCCTTTCTTTACGGGCTTCTCCTCGGTGGGCAGGGCAATTTTATTTAGTTGGTCATGTTTTCCACCGGAAATTTCCACCATTTTTCAGGATATCCAAGTTTGGTCTCTTTCGTTTTCTGTCATGAAATTTGTATTTTTAATGCACCAATTATCGTTATTCAAATAATATTATTTTCCGGTCAATATTCACTTATGGGAAATAATTGGAATGGCTACGAGCTCTAAAAATAGAATCCATTTCATTTCCTTGGAAGCCGCATTTTTTTATCTTCACACACAGAGATAAATTATTTAGAATAATTATAGATAGATGAGTAAAATTTTTGATTTTATTGCATTATTTCTTCGTGTCTTCAATTTTATTCATTCAATCAGTACATTATTGCATTATTCATTGGTCTTGACTCTCTTTTAATTATTGGACTGAGTAATATTGATGAATAATTTATGGAAAAGAAATAATGAAGTTTGAATTTTTCAATTGAATTGCTGAGAACTTGGATATCCTCAGGGCTGATAGATTGAAGTAAACTAGATTTCCTGGAGTATTTCTATGATCAACTGAGTTAATCCTCGAGATCATTGAACTGTTCAGCCAGACCGAGGCCGTAGATTCAGTCTCGGGTGAGGGTGCGTATTAACGTCAGACGGTGACAAATATTTTCAATGTAATCAAAGCCATCTTCATTCACACTGCATTAAGCTATCCCCCCCGCCAAGTAATTGAACGGGATTATTTATTCGATGAATTGGAGGAGTAACAACATCCGTTGAATCTCTCCACTCGTGTGTCTCACATTCAGCCATTTCCTAGTTTCTCACCGCTTATTACCAATTATTCATTATCTAAATTCTCACATTCAAAGATAACACTTCCGTTTATCACTCATTGCAAAAAAATCATTACGCTATTTTTATTGGTCTATTACTCTCCAGAACTCCAGAAACATTCGTCTAATATTTTTGAATTAATACTGGATTAATCAGCTGTTAAGACCAGAATGAGGAATTGATATTTTTTCATTGACTGGGTGTGCAATTATTTTCGTGATGAGGCATTGAGGGGATTTTGCAAGATAATTTTTTTTTGGCTTGAAAATAGTCACGTTCGACCTTTTAAATGTCATGGTGAAGAACTATCGAATAAATCAACGCCAAATTTCAAATCGAAGGGGATTGTTCTTGGATTAATCTCAACCTTTAGTATTTTTTATTTTCGACCATTACAGCCAGTTACGTATACAATCTGAAAATTTCAATTTAAAAAAGGTAATAAACAACTCTTTCGTTTTGTCATTAAAAAAAACAAGCACGAAGTCATTACTCACGTTCGACTCATGCTTCGCGTTCTAACAAGCCCTAATTTCATTGTCAATTATCTCGCAAACTACATTGCCCAGGCAATTACAATTTAGCCAGTAACCGGAGAACATTACCAATATTTATTTAAAAATCAACTTTCCACCGACATCCCGGCGTATTATTAAAATTTCAATTTCACTGAAACTCGATATTTCCAGAAATTCATTGCATTTCCATCTAATACATTAACGTCTTTGTCCGTTAAGACAAATTAATTAATAATTGAAATTAATAGAAATTATACGAGTTGGAAATTTGAATTTTCAATGGACTGAGAACCCACGGAGGTTTGAACTTGATTTTTCAATATTTTTTAAGTGTTGAAAAAAATTGCTCAGTCCTCGCATAATGAACAAGTGCGTAAAGTCACCAATTATTAGAGTTTGGTGCGTTGAACCAGAAAATGGACAGGCGTCGGTCGTTACGAAATGAAATTGAGAAGCAGTACATATGTATGTACATAGGCCAGAGCGAAAGGCACTTTGCTAGCGATTATGCCCTGCCTTTTTCTTCTCTCTCTCATTTTGTTTTTTTCCCATTATTTTTTCTACTGTAAAAATCCCGCTCTCGTCCCGACGCCGTATACCCTTCATCGTTTGAGTGCTCTGTAACTGTATATTATGTATCGTATATAGGTATTATATTTTTCACTCATTGGGGAGTTTATGGTATGCCCTAGAAAGCCGTAAAACTCGTGGTGTTTCACGTTAAATGCGATGATTTAGGTTCAATTGACATCGGGTTTATGCCATTCTAGATATCACTGGCCCATGGGGATTGCACTAGGATTAAAATATCGGATGGTTATTATGGGAGTGGATATTCAGGTGGTAACTGTCGTGGCGTTGGGGAGCGAGTGAATTATTCGATAGGATAATGTATATTTCATGGAGGGAAATTCTTCAGAAAATTACAGTGCAGCAGAAAAGTAGAGGAAATCATTTTTACAGCAATTCTTCATTTCTTTAGAAAAATTCGTTGAATTCTGGTGAAATTCTCAGGATTTGTGTGAGAAATTGAGATTTTTTCTCTGGTCTCCCTGAAGAAATTAAATTCCAGTACCCGATATTTGGGTTTAATGTTCATACATAAACTTTAAATGTTATTTTTTGGAGAAATTGATGGTTATTGTCAAGCTTGTTCTCATTAGTTCCGTTTTTCATTCAATTAATGGCACTCTGTCGATTAAAGTCCCTCGTAAATTACTGAGTTACGGGGAATATTCTGAAGTTCTTTCTGTACTCGTATTTTTTTTTCATTGGTCCAATTAAAAAAGGCGCTTCGGTTGTTAATTAGTGAAGTTTAATTCAGTGAAGCGAAAAATGGTTGAAGAATGCATCTGTGGATTGAGAAATTGCGAGGGAAGAAGTTGAAGTTTATTTGAAGTGATTATGGATTTTTTTTTTCTTGCCTCTCATTTTGTTTAATTAAAAATTCAAGGATAATGTTACAAATGTAAAACACGGAATGAAAGAAAAAATTGCATTAGTTGGCAATTTGATTTTCCATGAAAAGTTAGACTGGAACTGATTCCGTGATTGTTTTATCAGCTTCTTGGGACGTATGTCGTCATGGACATTGCGTCTGAGATTACACGAGCGAGACGACGGGGGTGAGGAGAAAAAAAAAAACTAAGCGAGTTAAAAGAAAAATGAGAAAAAAAAAATTTCTGGCGTGCTCTTCTTCACGTCTCCTCCAGTCTTTATCGTTTAAACTTCCTTTTTTCTTCACTTAACTCATTTACTTCTCTCTCATCTCCACAGCATCCCACGAGACGCAGTTCGAGGTCTCAACCAGAATTGAACCAGTTGTCGATAACCCGTTTGCTTATTACTGAAATGAAAGAAGAAATAAATGAAACCAAGTAGAAAGAACGGCGAAGCATAAATACGGGGAAACCGAGGAATGAAGGGGTAAAACATTGAGAAGAAGATGAATACTAAAATCCTTAAATTCAGTGAAGCACTCGGTAAATTTTTTCCTCCAAACATCCACGCGCTTCAAAAATTTGATAACAAGTAACAATAATTCACATTCGATTGGATTATCATTTTTTTTTTTTAGAAATTATCGCTGGAAAACAATCATAATTAATTAATAACAAAGCGTAGTCAGGCCGGCCTGGTTATTAGTCCCCATTGGGGAGGACGCATATAAATATTTTTTTTATAATGCGAAGATCACAGATGCTGCGATAATATTGAGGCTTTTTACATCTTCTCTATCCGCCAGTTCACTCCCTCTTCCATCTCAGCATTCGTTCGTTAACTCTTCATCACAGTTGCCAGTTGGCAGCTGATTCTTGGTAGAAGACTCATTCGTAAATCCGTCATTCGTATTCCCACTCTGGCTCCATACCAAATCCAAATAAGGATTTGGGATTAAGGAGCCACTCCACTCCGTTATAATCGTAATTGTTACATTATAATGCTAGGCACAAATCACAGTATAGCAGTCTGATAAATTCCTAGCTCCGTATGACTCTTTATGGGTTATCAGCAGGAAAAAAAAAATATGTTTTTTTTTGTCATTCGTATTTCCATCGTTTCGAAACTATAAAAAGTGATAAAAAATGTGGAATGTGCCGTCATTATCTGTCCCAAGAATGCAAAGTTGGAAAACACTTTTAGTCATTTTTTCTAGTCCTCGGTTATGGAATGGATTAGTAATTGAGAAATTATCTGGGGAATCAGGGATTCTGGAGGATTTCTGAGATTTTTAAAACATATTTTTGTTTTGTATCTGAATTATCGGTCTTCAGGGTCTTTATCGACCGGAAAAATCGTTTTTTTTTCATCAGCTCAATACACGCGCCGATTGTATTGGAAAAATGTACAGTTCAAGGGGTTTCGAGAATGTCGATAAGGCCTGATAACTTGAATATGATAATTCTCTTAATTAATTATTGAATTATTCCGAGATTGAGCCATGCAGGAATATTCTAGTGCTCTTGGGTTTCTCAATTAACTCCACGAAAATAAAAATAAAAAAGAAAAAGCCTTCAAAAATATTTCCGCCTTTTCTCGCAGTACCCTGCAATCGTAATCGTTACATTGCCCTCCGAAATTAAGCACCACTTGGTACAGCAATAAATTCCGGTGCAATTCTTCCTCAGCAGAAGAGAAATGAGATTTTTTTTTCCCCCTCTGTCCAAAAGACAAGTAAAAATGTCCCCAGTGTAGTTACCCTTAATTTTTTTTGGTCGTCAGTTGGTGAGGGCCGCTGACTGAAAAAAATAGTATATCCCTGGAATTCGTATTTGGGTAACCGAGAATAGCATTTATTCGCCTGAAATAACTCAACGCAACGATTCGCTGGGTTCCACATTGGTGAGTTTCTAGGCTGAAGACTGAGGGTCTTCTCCCTTCATGCACTTCATTCATCGGTTTCTCTTTTTTACCTCCGAGTTTTATCGGCCCTCGTGGCAAGTAAATACGATCAGAGGGACAAATTCAGGAAAAAAAAAATCTTTCATCTTTGTAATTTGTTTTTTATTGCGCATTATTATGGCGTAACTGTCTTGTTACGAGGGCTAAAATCATCTGGTTTGAAGTCTCCATAAACAATATCTTTATAGTCTCCCTTGTCGTCTACCACTTCACCATGATTTCATGCCTGTCACCGGATCCTCGGTATTAATGACGAACTAATGATACCAGAGACTTGGGAAAATGATTAGTTGGCCATTTTTACTTCACCCAATCCGGATGACTGAATTGTTGGGATTATTTCTTCGTTTGTGTCAATTAGGCTTTTTGCCACTCTGCACTTCCGCAAGTGTTTATCAAAAAAACTTCGATAATTGGAGGAGTCTCTTATTTCCGATTGGTTAGAAATTTTTTAATGAAATTCACGATATAGCATTATTTTGCGTTGACAGCAGAATTGAGGAGGAAAATAATTTAATGAATTCTAAGAATAAAATTTTCATTAATTTTTTCATTGAAAGTGGAGCGAAAACTGGTGTGCATTATCGAGAATATCTTGACAGTTTCTACCTTGAACTCCTCGCAAGATAATTCTCAAAATGAATGCACGTCTCAATGAAATTCACAAAATCTCGTACGTATCACCGAGTGGTCTATTTCTCGCGTTATCTCACGAGCACGAAAAAAGCTAATGAAAAAGAATAATCACAATGGATCGAGGGTCTCTCATCATCGCCAATCGATTCTTATCGTAAATTACACTCGATAACGCGCCCTCTCTTTATCAAATTACCCACATATTTATCATCCAACGATTGTTCATACGGATTAATCAATTCCTTATTTCTTGAAAATTTGCAGCCGGTGAGTGAGTGGACATCTCTGAATGTCGTCGAGTGGATGTCGGCCCTTAATCTTTATCGATATGCCGACGTATTTAAATCCAAGGACATCAAAGGGGCCGATCTCCTGCAGTTGGATCGGGAGAAGCTGATGGTGAGTGTCACATTCCATCCAACAATATTTCATCTCATTTATATTTTTTCAATAAAAAAATCGGGCAGTTCACGCAAAATTGACGCGTGGTGATGCGATCACATCCATATTTTTAATAATAATTAACTTTGAAAGAATGAATTCAATTCTGATGAATTTTTCGGATGAATGATAAAAAAAATGTCAATCGTGGGAGAAAGGGTTGGAAAATCCCCCAAAAATTCATTAGGATAAATAGAGAATTTAATTTGAACAATAAAAACTAATTGTCGAGGAAGAAAATGAATAAAACGAAATAAAATAGCTCGCAATGACCAGAGATAAAAAAAAAGGGTCCCCCCTCTGGTGACCCCATCCTCTGAAGAATCGTCAAGAATTGCCAGCAGTCTCGAAGAGTCGAGGTCGAACGATAAAGACCCCCACCAAGTATCAACGTGAATCGTTATTAGCTCGAGTTTTACGATTGTGCCTGGATCTCGTTCTTCCCCAACGAGGCGATGGCTCTCCTACCGTTATTTTATCCTACCTTCACCAACTTCTATCTCCAGATAGACACTGACTTGCAAACAGTATAAATACGTTGAGAATGACTTAGACGCGGTGATAAAGATGAAATGATTCGAGATATCGATGGCCAAGTGTATTTTACCTCCTGCTTTTGTTGCTCAAATGGTTATTTTATTCAAGTTAAGAATGGAGCTCGGGAAAACATCGAGATTAAATCTTTTGTCGAGTGGTAGATAATGGGAAATATATCTCGGTAAATTAGTATCTGTTATTTGAAAAACCTTTTACCCTTTCGCTGATTTCGTAAACATGATCTCCGAAAATACATCATGGGAAAATACTTTCGTCTTTATACTCCGGAAATAATTCCTGACGAATGTACAATTTTCACGACACAAGTTGCCATTTTATCATAAAATATAACTCGAGAGAGAGATAGATTTTTTTTTCCTCAGCGAAGAATTCCATTCCCTCAATGATATCCTCGCTTTATTTCCATCCACCCAAAACACCCCGATAATTTATATTTCCCCTAATATTTCACTCCTGGTGCTCAGTATATCACCGAGTTTTCGTTGTGGACTCAGGGGGTTACAAAAATGGAAACGTGGAATATTCGTTGGTATAAAAAAAAATAAAATGAGTGAGAAAAAGCGTTGCAAGGCGCCAAGGCTTTTTCATCAGCGTAAATCTCGATTAACATACTAATCGACTCGTAAATTGTCCACCGTGGTCTCGTGTCCTTCTTGTGTGTGTGGAAACGACATACTTCCAACTCGGAGCCCCAGCTACTCCTTCTTTCACTTTAAACTCACCTCCTTCAGTTCCTCTTTTCCCTCACTCCTTTTCCTCGGTTCATTTTTCTTTCTTCTCTCTTTTTCTTTTTATGCGAAATTTTTTTTATATTTTTTATTCTATCTAGCCTCAGCGCTCGTCTCTGCGTTCACCGTGACTTCGTTTTGGCTCACGATCTTTCGCCGCCAAGCGAATGTCACGTTTCGTTGGCCACGAGACCTCTCCCTCCTTAAGTTGAGGCAAAATGAGAGAGAGGGATAAAAGCCACAATCTCGTCTCCCAATTCCCACCGGTTTCAAGACTACGACTTGGCTTTTACTACTAGTACCTTCCTGCATCGGGAAAAATGGGTTTGCTCGTTTGACTCGAGTCAAACTTTGGATTTTAACTCATTCAATTGGAATTCATCTATTTCAATTCATTCATCATGTCATGAAAAGAACCTTGAGTATTTTATATCAATTTTTTGCTTTTTCAAATGCTCTCCCCAGAATTCACTGTTCCTCCCAACTTTCAAAACTGATTCGAGAAGGAAAGATATGTATTCTGACATTTACTCCCACGATGTGTTAAAATTCCAAGATTTCGAAGAAGAGAATTCCATTGTCGAGTTAAATCAGCACTTCAATCGCCCAAGTAATTGTAAAAGAAGTCGACTCGTAGTATTTATTTAAGACGTTGTTTAATCAAATGGATGTGCGCTGGAGTGAGTAAATACTCGTCAATACTGGGAAGAATCGAGAGAATATTTGCTATTATTTACCGAAACCCACATGAATCACCGATTACACTGGTTCTTTTGTTTAATTAGAATATGGGAATAAAGGATGAGTTTCATCAGAAGAATATCCTGGTGTGCATCGAGGAGCTCCGCCAGACCTCAACATCACCATCATCAGACACATCAAAGTCATCAACATCACTGTCGAGCAATGACACTAACATAACCAGTGATACTGCTGTTACAATCGGCAGTGGTAATCAGCATAATCTAGTACCTCACAGTTTCAGTGTTTTGGAGAGATGTGACAAGTGCCACAAATATCTTCGGGGTCTCTTGCATCAAGGATTCTTATGCCAAGGTTTGTTACTTGATTTATTGAAATTGTGGAACAGCATGTGCCAGTCAAATATTTCCTTTTGACACATCATTTTTAACATCTCTTCAATTTTATTCTTATTTTAGATTGCGGTTTGGTCGCCCACAGAACGTGCACAGCAACGGGTTTGCCCACGACTTGCGTACCATCCGATCCAGAGACTCGCAGCAATCGATTGACTTCAGGTGAGACCAGTGCACAATTCAAAGATAAATATTATCTCTTTATATTTTTTGAGGATTACCCCTCCTATTATTACCCCTTTATTTCATTCACTGGAAATTCGTGTGAGTGAAATGTAATTAGGAAGTACTTCTTCCTTTTCTTTTTCCTATTAATCATCGATTCGCGAAAGAGGTTTCTTGGCATATGCTCTTGGAATCCACTGTGTTGGAGTTTTAGTCTCATTTTCTGACTCCCTCCATGTAATCCTTAATTATCGAAAAGTCGGTTATCTTTTTCCTATGAATTTCTAATTGATTTTGTACCGAGTCCGAGTGACTTTTTGTTTGCCACGATTATTTGCACATGCTGGAGAACACATTTTCATTCACGTTCCAAAGAGTTTAATTTACTCTCAGTGCCGAATGAAGAATTAACTTTTACACGTGTGCGAGAAAAAGTACATGTTCAATTTGTGGTTTCATAGCAGTGGGAAAATACGATTACTATAGCCACCGTTGTCACTACTTACACTTGCCCGAGGTTAACCACGACGGATATTAAGTGTAATGCTCACGTATTATCGGAGTTGGAACCGCGAGTTTGGAGGTATCATCGTGTTACACCGCGAAGAGATAAAAAAATTTCACTAGAATCGGTTGATACAAATTCAATAATTTTTCATTTATATTGACATTCTGATCTCAAGCTTTGGCATGAAGAGAAAATAATTTTACTTCACTCCGCGGTTTCCGCGTTATTAACAATACAATACATTTCATTCTGCTCAGACTCTCCCCTCGATCTTCAAAAAATTACTTCAGCAATGAAAAAAATAATTTGGTTACTTAAAAAAATGAAGCCGTCACCATAAAATCATAAACTTCATCTGCATTCACAATCTAACGCAATCGTAGTTGCCTTATACATCTGTCAGCGTAAATTTTGTACGTGAGATATTTCAAGGACAGTCTAAACAATAAAGTTAAATATGCAAAGAGGAGTAATAAAATCATCGATTGTCTCATAAGTGTTTCTCCCTGTTGTACATGTTGCGAACTCGACGGTGCACTTTTAGACACAAATATATGTGTGTTATATCGCAACTGAGCATTAATACAGCTCACTTGTGAATCCGTGAGTGCATGTAATAATGGTATCACAAAACATTGCACGTGGTGTACATTGGGAATGACCGAGAGTCTGCGCATTTTGCGGGTTAATTCATACGAGTGGCGCCAGAACCCACGGACACAAATGCTTGGGCCATTACTTTAGTCTCTCGGTTCATCACCTCCATTTATCCTTCTCTACCTAGTCCCCCTGATGCTCCATGATGCTCATCCACTTCTGTCTTATCCACGTCTACTCGTTTTACTCCCGTAATTTAATTTGCCAATAATTCCCCACTGCCATTTCGACTCGAGTCGTCGCATCAAGTGGAAGAACTCTTCCGAAATAAAATAAAAAATCTTACAACTTGAAAAACAACAGGATAACAGAAAAAATATAGATTGTGATAACAAGATGACAATTGATTATGAGATGACGTGAAAAAGTAGAAGAGAATAATGTGGAGTCAATAAAAAATGTAATTATCCATCTGTTATTGATAATGCATTAGCATATTTTTTCGGGAATGACATTGAGTGATTTTTGTTGCAATAATTAGTTTGCTTTATAATAAAGAATATTCAATGCCAGTTCTTTCCTGAAACGAATCTTGACTTGAATAATTATTGGCTCCTACTAAATTAGTGGATATTAGTAATCCACGTGGATGTCTAATGAAAATTACCATTAATTCTCTCGAGATTGTGGAGAACAGGTTGTGTTCATTCATTGGCCTCTAATTGTCACGTTAAACAGGTGGAAAATGGAGAATGCCGAGAGCAGGATAATTATGGCTATTCTCAGACGTCTCTTTTTTTTTGCATTGGAATTTCAAATTGGTTATCCACGTGGCAATGGCATTTATTATTCTAATTTCCCCCTGATATGATGGTTGGAGGTTACCGTGATCCATCAATTCTCGTTGGACAGAAGAAGACGTCGATAATTAGAGTTATTTTTCCTCGACATCTAACGACATTTCAATTCCTTTTTTCCATCTGAAGGAATTAATGAATAATTCACCTCTTGTTTTGAATTACTCATATATTATTAGACTCCACGTGGATTAATTATCTGAATTGGTTACGTGAATTAATCACATCATTACGATTACGTTTATCTGATTTACGATTGAATCATCGTAATAGAAGGCGATGAAATTATGTGGATAAAATCTAAATTCAAACCTCAGAGGACGAGGGAATTTTTATGTGGAATTATCGGTAGTTAATTCCGTGAAGATCCTGTGAGAGGACTTCAGTTTTACAATTTCACTACGAGCGTTGTAAAGTCCTCATGTTCTTACAATTAACGCACCAATCCTTTTTTTTTTTTTCTAATTGATAAATGTGTCGAGTGAGCACAACGTGAAGGGGACGCGTGGGTGTTCGAGTTGTAGAAATTAATTCATAAATTTTTTTCCTCATTCAATTTCTGCCTTTTTACGCCGTTGTAAATGGACACTCGTATCAAGAGTAAAGTTGATCGTATGACTCGTGTAATTTATGCTAACAATCTATTGCCATTGTCGAGGGCCTTAAAGAAATCTTGTTTCATATTTTTTAATCTCACATTATTTTTTACTTCTGAAAAATTCCACCGGTGGTGAAGAAATTATATATTCTCTGCTGGTTCATTTCTCTATTCGTTTCTCTCCAATGAATTGACAATTCCCTGCGAATTTTTTATGTATCAATTATTGTGAGAGGAATGATTATTATTTTTCTCTGTCATTATTGTGCTTTGATGAGGGGTATGATGGCGTGAGTGAAAATAAAAAAAAATGTGGCAATAATAAATTCCCTTTTGTTCAGTTTTTGGCCTCGCCCTGTGCTCGCAATTCGATGCATCTTCATCAAAAGCACCGGTTCTCGTTGAAAGATGTACCTTGGCCCTGGAGGAGAGGGCAATCGTCGACACAAAACTCGATCTCTACAAAGTATATCACAACAGTTCGCCCAACGAACAGGTTATTGAATTGCGACAAAAGCTCAACCAAGGTACGTCGAAATAATAAACTAAGAACTAATAAAAAAGTACTCTATTTACTTCTACATTGTTTGAAATTGTGTGATGAATTGAATTCTTATGTTTCATTAAGATGTCTACAACGCTGACTTGAGCTCGTACAGTCCCTATTGTATTGCCAGCGTATTGAAAAAGTTTTTACGAGAATTGCCGGATCCCATTATTCCTGTACAGTGGTACGACAGATTCTTAGATGCTGCAGGTAAATAATTTCATCAAAAGGCTGAACTTGTTTCATAAGTTTTATTAATGCTCGTCAAATGCCGACTGACTCACCAAGTTGGTAATTCATTCATGAAGAGGGATTTCAATAGACATTTGAGTTTCATTAAATTTGTTCGGATGACGAAAGTTCATTACTGCAATGGGTTTGATAACGTTTATTTTATATATTTATAAGAATAATTAATGAATGAAAAATACTATTTCAGGTTCGAGAAACGACGAACAATGTGCTATGAGATTAAATCAATTGGCATCAGAGCTCCCGGAGCATCACAAAAGTACATTGTACTATCTAATGTCACACTTTTGTCGTATCTGTCAATTACAACATGCACGCGGTTACACCGAGCCACCAACAATTCTCGTTCAAGTCCTCTGTCACATAATTCTCAGACCCCCCTGGGAGCGTATCATGTGAGTGTATCGATTTATTTACCCTCTCCTACCCTCATATTCTCTAATTTATCAATCTATCGATGGCCAGACCACCTTAATTGATGCCAAATGCATTTGATGTAAACACTTCTATTACCAATTACAGCCAAGTTGTATATAACACTGAGGCTCACATACGGATAATGGAATTGCTGTTATTGCACGGTAATTGGGGTGAGAGATTGCCAGAATTTGCCAGTGCGCCTCAATTGCCACCACGCAAGGTATCAAGACCTCAGTTTCCTATTGAACCATTTTCAACGTTGGATGAGGATACGAAAATTAGTGATCAGCAGATGTATCCAGAGAGCAAGGATCATCAAGTTCACAGGTATATACGGCGAATAGATTAATAAAATATTTGGAATGGGAGTGAATACGAAAATTGCAAAACAAAAATAAAATATTCACTCTGTAAATATTGATTCTTCCAGGTCTCGATCACTCCAGGAGGCCGAATGGTATTGGGGCGATATAACTCGTGACGAAGTGAACGAGATGATGGTAGACTCTCCAGATGGTACATTTCTTGTGCGCAATGCGTCTTCCAAAGGTGGCGAGTACACTCTGACCCTGCGAAAGGGTGGGACAAATAAGCTGATAAAGATATGCCACCGGGGTGGAAAGTATGGTTTCTCGGAGCCCTTCAATTTTCACTCCGTGATCGAGCTCGTGGATCACTATCGCAATCATTCCCTAGCCCAGTACAATGCAACCCTGGACATTAAACTGGTGTATCCAGTCTCCAGGTTACAGCAAGACGAGGAGATCGCCTCGACGACCAAAGACATGCCTAATGTCGTGCAAAAATTCATCGAGCTGGACAGAGAGATGCACAATCACATGAAGCAATACCAGGAGTGCTCCGAATTGTACAATAGAACGGCCTACGAGGTGCAATTGAAGCGTCAGGCACTGGACGCCTTCTGCGAGGCAATAAAAATGTTTGAGGACCAGATGAAACTCCAGGAGAAGTTCCAGAAGGAGGCGCAACCTCACGAAAAGTGCACGCTGAATGATAACGCTGAACTATTGAGGAATCGTCTTAAATCACTGGAAGACAGCAAGGAACAGCTGGACGACAGCTTGAGACAGCAGATTGCGTACAACAGGACACTTGAGCGTGAGATGTACAAATTAAAACCTGACATGGTGCAATTGATGAGGCAAAGGGACAAGCACTTGATGTGGCTGAGAAAGCATGGAATGAAGCAGACTAAGATCAATCAGATTACGTTGAATCATTCTTACTCGAATCCAGTGGCTGGTGAATTAGCGTTGAATGACTATCAGGAGTTTGATTTGGATGTTCATGCTGATGAGAGAACCTGGTTGTATCTCGAGGGGGGCAGAGAGGATGCTGACAGGGTTCTAGCTGGAAAACCTGATGGCACATTCTTGGTCAGAAAATCCAGGACTGGACAATATGCTCTGTCAATTATGTAAGATTATTCTTTCGTTTTATTCTCAATTATTTATTCTCAATGATGGGCATTTTTTCATTTTGCTTTTAAATTTTAGTCGTCGATTAGAATATATTGAGTTTAACCAGTACCATCAATTCTTCCAAATTTCCAGGTGTAATGGGACCGTTAATCACTGCATAATTTACGCAGCGGAGAGGGGTTACGGTTTCGCTGATCCCTACAACATCTACGAGAATTTGAAGCAACTAGTCCTCCACTATGCACAGAACTCCCTCGAGGAGCACAACGAAAGTCTAAACACAACCCTCACCTATCCAGCATTTGCATCCCCAACGGATTTAGCACGTCTTCAGACCCAACAGCGACTTATTCTGGCGCAAACCCAAAATCAAATGGCACTTGTAGCTGCCAGTATGCGTTAGGATGATTGATAATTTGGTTGGAAAACAATAGACGTTGACTCGATGACGAGTCTGATCGGGGTAAATAAATAAAATCCGCAAGAGCATCAACCACCGTCAACATAACAATAATTATTCAAAATCCGTGAGTCTGTCTTGCCGCTATCAGCCAGTTTCTATCCTTCCGATAAAAACTAACGAAACAAATATTCCCATTATCACATAAGTCCCCCAAAATCCTCAATTCCAAGGGGGAAATATTCACAAATCCCATTCTCACTAGAATCTGATGAATAATCTTTAAAAGATTACAAACTTTAAAAACAGAATTCATACTCATCGTCATCCCCTTTCGACTTTATTCTCCATCGGTACAACGAAATGTTTTTTCTTCTACGTTTTAAGCAAGAGGAAAATAACTTTAATGAAGAAATCACGAACTAATGGAATGCCAAGAAAGGAGGATAATTTTTACGTAATTTATAAGTGCTGTGCCAGCCCCTTAAGGTGCGCCAATTTTTTTTTTTTTTCAAAGTAACTCAGAGGTCGATTTATACATATTTCTCCCCCTTTTTAAATAACATTTTTTTTCTAGAGATAACTATCTGTGATTTCAGATCAATAAGACGTGCGGTGGGTGTTTTATTTTGATTAATTGTTGTTTCTTATATAATTCCTGCTTTTTATTTTCAATTACTCCGAATTCCTTGGAGATATCCACACCCATTCGATTTTTTTAAATTCGTATTGGTCCTTGTGTTGAGCACAAGGCAATAGTCCCTTTATATAATGAAAAATATAAATAATCGCGAATAATGTCAAAAGTATAGAGGAGTGAGAGATAGACGATGGACAGACGTAAATGTTCTTCTTCGTTCATATTATTTTCAAATTGAATTAATTGAGGCTGCGTTTAGGAGACGTATGTAATATCTTTTTTAAATAAATGTAATTAATTGCGATAAATGTGAAATTAGTGTGAAAGATGAGATGAATTTATTGAGGACGATTAACGTATGTATGTTTTTTTTTTAGTAAATGCACGTTAAATTGCTCTCTACTTGTCATCAACGAGTAATTGGAAGATATATTGCGCTGTGGGCGATTAAGAGACGTTTAGTATCTCGAGGGCGGTTTTATTATGCTATTTACATAATTGTAGGAGTGTAGAAGTCATAATCGGTCCACCACCCCCCCTACCCCTTTTTTATCCACAAGATGATGTTGACGGTAAATCAGTTGTTATTGTTTTTCATTTGAGATAATTAGCTGGGGATTGTTAAGAGTCACTTATTCTCGTGTTAGGAACGATCAGTTGTCGACTAGAGATCTCAATATTGTAATTGACGAGGACAATTATCAATTCTGTAATTGATTTGACATTTTCTGTAAAATTCCCCAGTGAAGTGGTGAAATGTCTCGGTTAAAGGGTACGAGCAGAATTTTCTCGTGCAATATTTTTCCACTTCACTCCAGGATTTTTAATTCATCAGTTGGGTATTTCCATTCAGTTTAGTTTGAGTTTTATCTGGATTAATCGAGAAATTTTGAATTTACACGGCGGTCACAAGTGTAAATTTCAAAAGTGTATCGAATTAATATCAGTTAATTATATTGAAGATGTTTAATGAAATGTTCTCGTTTATTGCATTACCAAAGTAGTGAAAAATGAATACATGACGTTGCGAATAAGTGTGAATGAGTTTTTTACGCAACGAGTGGACGAGAGTAAGTGATTCTAGTTGATGAATGGAAAAATGAAAAACAATAAAGAAGGATTTATCGAGTCAGTGGAACGACGAGGGTTGAAGTGACGATGACGATGAGAGATTGACGTGCTAAATTTAACTGCAAACTGAGAGAATATGAATGATAACTAATGAAACAATGAAGCCTCGAATTTTTGTAAATTTGTGTAAAATTCATTAGACGTACAGCTTTTTTTTTGTAAGTGTAATACCGAGTGAACATGGAGTTGATAAGCCCTATTTTAACAAAATGAAGATTGTTTATAGTGAATAGGTATTTAAGAGGAGTCTAAGAAATTGTGGGCAATATTTTTTTGTATTAAAAATGGAAGAAATAATGATAATTTGTACGAGGGATTCAGCTCTGGAGGGCTGGTGTCAAGTGGGTCAGGGCTCGGTGACAATGCAAGGGCACTCGAGCTTGTCTGACTCGGGTTAGAGCCTTTGAATGCATGCGAGTCTCTTGAAGGTGCTCCTGTGATAATTAAAAGAAGAAAAAAAAAAGTGAGGAAAAATAATAAAATGAAAAACTTGACTCAAGTGATTGAAGTAATTTTTTAAAACGAGAATAAGATGATGAGGCAGGTATTGTGTGATTTTTTCATTCGTTTCACTAATCGAATGCATGAAAATATTAAAGTATCTTCATTGCGTACAGCACTTGCGATCAAATGATCTCAATTCATGCCGTTTATGAGTGACTGAGTCACTAAGGAGTTGGCCTTAACGAAAGCAATGGACATTTTTTTTAAATTTCTACCAATTTCTGTTTTAATAACTATCATTTTTTTTTTATTTGAGAGAGAGATGAAGTGAGTAGGATGTGGAGCTTATGATCATGTCCGACCTCGTCGTTTCACTGTGTGAATACAAGGAAATTATTAGGTACATATATATCCACTCAATAATTGTGTAAAGGAAAAATATGAGAGAAAAATGAAAAAAATTCTATATATACACACATATATACACATATATTTACATAATATCTATATTTTTAATTACTTTCGAATGAACCTTAAGAGGCTGTAGTATTTGTCAACAGGTGTTGGAGAATTTTCCTCGGTTTATTTATTTTTCTTCATTTATGAGGGATAAATACACGTGAATCGTAAAACCCATCGCAATGAGGGAATTCAGGGAAAAATGGGAGTACTTTTTCTGCAGATGATTACATTTTCTCTTTTATCACTTTTTAACCATATTCTATTTTTTTTTGCACTGATGGTGAGTATTGCAGCCTCTCGGACCATTATTTGTAATCAACGTATACACCTGGATATTTCCATTTCATTGACCAATTGGTTGGGTTTACGAGGAATTTCTGTGGAGGCAACACATCGCTTTCTGCTATTTTATTTGAAATTTCAATTTATTGACAAATATCTGGAGCAAATGGGATAAGAGAGAATATCCTGACAAAACCATTTTCTATACACAGCTGGGATGCTGCAAAATTTTCAGACATATTTGCCAAACAATTATTTTGATTAATCTCCAGGAATTTTTCGATTCATCTCTCGTTCGGTTCAGTTGCAAACCACTTGACATTAAATTTCCCCTGACATTTGCATGTCCAGTCTCTGGAATTCCCTCCAAAATACCTCGGTTTATTCTCCACAAGGCCCCATACATATTTTCCATTTTATTTCTCCACATATTCTATCGACGTCACACACACAACGATTTGATTTACCCAGTGAACGATTTATTTTTCACAACTATGCGTTCCGGCACGTTCCGTGTAAATTCCCCGAAAAAAAAGTGCACTAAAAAATTCCCCCAGTGACGAAAGGAGTGGAATAAAAAAAAAAGTATAAAAAAGTGAATATTATTCCGTACGAATAGCCCGCCTGCGGGCACGTATGTAAATACCACTAAATCTCTTCTTTCCACCAATTTTTTTTTCTATTAAAATTTATGACGATGATCAACACGTTTATTTTATCTAGCCATAGGGTCGTGAATGTCACGACTAACGAACGTTTCGTGTGAGGATATAAAAACTGCAAGTGTTACCTCACTATTTGTATATTTAACAGCAGTAATAAAAAGGGGGTCCAAGCCCATTGCTCATTGGCCCGTAGATTTTTTCGCTCTGATGATAATCATCGCTATTGGTATTTCGATGAAGAGATACGAGAGACAGAATAAATCACTGGACAAAATTCTTCGCCGAAATTTCCGGTGAAAGATTGAAATTGATCAAATATTTCCAATTCGCAACTCCGATCTTATCATCTTCTCTGATTTGCAGCGGACCGTAGGGAGATAGCGTAAATTTTGTCAAAATCTTTTTTATAGTTCGCAATTAGATCTGCAAAAAAGGTTATAACAAGATTTTTCATATCTGCAATAAATTCGGAGATATTCGTATTTGTCTCTGACATCCGTTTTATGAACGTAAAAAATGGAAATGGAAATTTTCCTGAGCCGCGAATTTCACCGGAAATTTCAGGCGATAATTGTGGGAAGTGGTAAAAACGTGAAACAAGATTGGACGCCAGTTTTTAATTCAATTGAATTGAGTGGAATCTCGTTGGACTGAGGAATAATTAATTGGTGAATTTTCAAAAAGATAGATTCAAGAGAAATGTGAGGAACGCATTGATAATAATTGTGAGCTTTTTCCTTTCTCGTGGAAAATAAAAGAATAAAATTTACACAAGAAATGGAAAACATAAATATGAAACATTTGTTGTCTTTCGTCGGGAGAATGGATTTATAATGTTGCCTTAGCTTTTGTACAAGTCAAGTGTAAGTGAAGTGAAATGGGGGAAATGCTTGACATTGGCTGAGCATTTTTTCGAATTGAGAGATACGGAGCAAAGGTGAAGATAAAACAAAATTGTCTGAATATTAAAACGTTAATGACAGGTGAATTCTGCATTTAATGATTAAAATAGTGATTCACAGATTAACGTTAATTAACAGGTAGAGGCAGAGGAGAGAAACTCATGACACAACTGAAATAATTAGACAGCAGAGTGGAAATTAAAGGTGGGCGTATCGTCGATTGTTGAAGTGACTTAATGATTTGTGTGAAATTATGGGAAACCCCGATGAATTAATTCACGTGGCAGTTATTCCCCAGAATTGTACAGGAGTCTTGCAGAATTAATGAGAAACTACCCCAAAGCGATAGAAAATCATTACCCCGAATGAGCCATTTTTGTCTATCAAGCAATAAAATTCCATTGACATTTTCTACCGAAATGACTCATCGAAACATTTCTCCAGTAACTCCAGGAATAGAAAAGATTTTTTAACGATCAACCGCCCTAAATTGTCCTGGACAGTCAGAATTCCCAGCAATTTTCTGCCAAATTTGTGTTTTTGTCTTGAATTATAAATAAATAAATGTCATGATTCAGATGAATTATCAGTGTAGATAATTTCAAAATGGACTGCACAACAGAATAAAAGGAAAAAAATAAAATCCTGCAGGACTTCATAATCGATGAATCGACAGAAAAATGATCGAAGAACCTCGAAAGGATCAAAATAAAACAGAGCATGGGATTACCTACGCACTAAGCTGATAAACACTAGAGAGAAAGAAAATTAAAAGAAAAAAAAAAAAGAATGTACGCTGTCCCACTGTGATAAAACTTTTGTTTATGCATGTAAAATATATATACTATATTACTGTCACAAGTATTGAGATGAAGAAAAAAAAAATAATAAACAAATTAAACAAATCAATATTATATACGTGAATACGTGCAGGTGCGTGTATGCGTTAAATAATGATCGACGGATACACGTATTGCAAAATATTGTCGATTAAAATGTGAAGAGAAGAAAAAAAAAAACGTAACGACTTGCGTAAATTAGACGCTCGATTGCGCCGTGATGAATTTTCATAGTTATAATGAACAAAATGAGATTAGGGGTGAGGGGGAGGTGAGAGGGTGATAATGATGATTGTGATTACTGATAGACGGGGATGCACCGTTCGGAGATGAGAAAATAAAACAGCAACGACGAAACGATCAATTAAGAATGGCTAATCAATGAAGTGATAAAACGTAATAGAAATTGAATTACGTTTAATCACTTTGCTGGAGAAATTGATGAACAAGTGGAGAGTGGAATTATTGATGAAAGATTAACAGATTTTCCGGCCGAAAGTACAGTATTATATGGTCCTGAGCCTTAGGCTCTTTCGATAATCATCGCCTGGTGTGATTCGAGATCAAAATAATTATCATTAACAAAGAAAATGAATCGAATCAATCTTTCCTATAATGTGATTGTATTAACAGATAGTTAATGATGATTTAAAAAAAAAAATGCAATGAACGAATTCATGTTTTCGCTTGGAATCTGATTACTGAGACTTTACATTGATCATGATGATAACGAATGCAATTCACCGCCCCTTTTTTTTTTATCCACTATTGTATCTGAACGGTGTTTCGGTAATGACATTATTGGAGGTAATAAATCATTGAATTATCGAAACTTGGTTGGAATTACGCTGAGTGATTGAGAATCCTGGAGGATGTCAGACCAATTATTTACGCAGTGAGAGAGAAGAGAGATGATAAACAAGGACGAGGAAAAATAATATTTAATGAAATATGGCCATTCTCGTATTATAAAGTTTATTTCGTAGAGATCAATCTGTAAAACCATTTATATTTGCATATGATTAATATGTTTTAATTAAAAATGTTTGCGTTGTATTTTTTTCTCAACCTTTCCTAGACGCCGAGTCTGATCATACCCGGGAATAACCACTTGTCCGATAACTGCCAGGTGAGAGAAGTCTTAAAATGTCAAATTGGTACTTGCGGCGATCTTTACTCAAGTTATCCGACAGTTTCAGCTGAGTTTCAACTCATTGAGATATCTTCCTCGTTCTCCTTTTATCCACAATTAAATTCATATATTTCCTAATTAAAATAAGGAATTGCTCGACTTGTCTGAATTTTCTGAAAAGCCTGTGGAATTAATTTCGACGGAGTGAATCCATAACGATGTGATCAAGACGTGAAATTCAGTGGGAATTGCGTCATTTTGGTTTTAACAGTCTACAAGTGGTTTTCAGGTTGCATCCTGACGTTTTTCACTCATCCCATTGGATAACGAGAGCTCATGGTCGACAATTTTCCCGTGCACTTGAACTCATCGTCGACTATAACGACTGCTATAAGTGAAACGAGACCAGATATCCAGGTGTTTCATCAGTAAAAGGGAGATAGAGGTGGAAATGACAATGAAAACCTGGAGGATGGAAAATCGAAGGTGTTCAGACATTCAGGTGTCCGCGTATTCCGAAGATTATTATTTATTCATTGTACCGAGCCCTGTGGCCGTGCAACGACTGCTTCACTTGCTGTCCCACTGGTATTTTCATACTGAAAACACCCGTTGTGAATATAAACCAGACATGCGCGTTATTTTATCTCCAGGTCACTATGTCGTATTCATACCGGCGTTTGCGCACTTATTTTAAAATTACATTCGCAGGTTTTCCTGGAATTTCAGGAGTGTTTTTCCCCCCGCGATTTTCGCGAGGGGTGAACACGCGCTCATTAAATTTTCCAGAATTCCTTCACCGCACATCAAATTTAATGATTCTATTCATTACCCCCTCCATCAAATCTCCGTAATTTAATTGTTCCAGGAGATATTGACACGCCGAAAAATTGTGATGGAGGATGTAAATAATTACCGTGACATTTTCAGAGAAAGCCGGGAAAATTTTCAAAATTACGTGACCGGGGTGTTTGGAAAATTAATTGAAAATGTCTCGCCAGAGAGAGAAAGGAGGAGAGAGAAATAGAAAAAAAATGAGTAATGGGTCAATGATCGGTTATAAGGTCACAGTTGACTTTTATTGATACCGCGTTTGCGCGCTGCAGGTATTTCGGCCGCAGTTGGGTCATTATGCAGGTACTGCCTGTCACTTGCCTCCATGACCCTGCCTGAATATGACCTGAAATTACAGGAATTTACCCTCAAACGATACGGGAATAAAAAACACCAGAATTAAATTCCACTCGTACCGTCTCGCAGCTAGAAATTCATAAACCCAACGGAAAATTCTCGGAAAATGTTTGAATTCCGCGTAAAAATGTCTCCATTCTTAAATAAAAAAATATCAATATATTACTACTAAAATAATAATAATAATAATAATGAGAAATGGTGTTTTTCCGGGAGATACGCCCGACATTTCTGGTGGGAAAATTCCCTCGGGAAAAGCGTCTCTGTACAATGTATTACCGTTATTGACGTACGTTTACGTTACGATTATTATCGGTGAGTGGATGATGTCGATGTTTTCGAGGCGCGAAATGCACCCATGGGGGACAGGATGAGGGGGATAATCCCGTAGGGCAAATGAGATGCCGCAGGGCAAGTCTGTCACCGATCCCCGGATGAGGGAATGAGGTCAGGTACACGGAATCATGAGTACAGAGGCCCTCCGCTGACTTAATGCACACACTTGAAGATTCAACGGTTAATGAATGACCTCTTAGAACTC